TAATGAAGCAGTATTTCAATTCGTGACTTTTAACAGAAAAATGTTAAGAGTCTAAAACTTTAATCTATAGTTTTCAATATAATCCACTTTATACTAAATAAAATATCATTATTGATTGGAATTTACCGGTGTAATCAAGCTAAAAGTTAGTAATTCTGAAAAATATCAGATTATATGGGTATATTGCATTCACTTACATACAACCACATTAGGAAGACTAAGTTTTAAAAAAACAAATAAATTTTCAAAGGAACTTAACGAATTGGAAATACCTGAACTGATTCTAATGCTTAGTTATGATATACAAATAACGGCATAATTTTTAGTGTGCTATGAACTTGGATCAGTACAAATTCCTTGTTAACCGTAACACACTATAATACTGTACGAAATTCTATTCGGAATAGTCTATTTTAATTTTTTTGGTAGTACAGGAAAATTGTTATCTTAGTGATTATCTTAGTTTGCAAAAATTACATAAACTGCTATCGTTTTGTAAAATACAATCAAATTCATCCTAATGACTAATAAATTATCATGGATACTTGATGTTTATTTGTCTGATAAGCGCATATTTCCATAGCAATATATGTAACTGTGATACTTTTTGTTCAGGGCATTAATAACATAATGTGCTAATTATGTAGTTTCTTATTTCAGTCAATGCAAATATATTTCACAATCAACATTAATTATCATGAAGATTTATAACACTAATACTAATGTAAGTAAATGGACTATATTGTAATATTATTTATTTGGTGAATAGTTAAAATTAACAGATAAATTAATTTTAGTGATTATTGGATCCAGGAATTGCTGTTATTAAACTCTCAAGATTTTATTGAATATAGTCTTATTTCATTACTAATTGTTCAGTGATTTGTCTACTCTTTTCTAATATTTATTATTTGCAAAATTCATATCTTCGTTTTTACGAGATCATTAACGATATAGGCCAAGAGATATATGGGAATTTGAAATGAACGGATAGGGGATGTGACAATGGTCACTTTACTTAAAAATAATTCAATCAGCCTTTACAGATAACTTTTTAATGGTGAAGCGAGTTACTACAGGATTTACTTGTAGTTAAGATACATTTATGGCCCCCAAATGCCTGGTATGGCTGAGAGTGAAGTGGGCCCGCCCTCCCTTTCGAAATGCTCTCACACGGCCACATGTATACAGCCTCTGACAGGGAAGTCCTACTCACTGCCTTCTCGTGGCGGGGGTGTTGTCTACGAAAATGAGAGGACGAAAAGCGAATGTCCGGCGCTTTAACCGGATCCCAAACCAATGGTGCACATGGGCTCCAGTATCCTGAGAGAACAATGGCGTATGAACCAATAGTCGGTCACCGGCTACCATGGGACTGCATCTCCTAACGATTCTCCACTGCCTTGTTCTTGTCTTAGATTTAAAATCGTTCAATGGCTTGGTTGGTAATAACGTGTAGTGAGCAGCCATTATCATTCGACCACATCAATCAATGTATATTATCCAACCAATCAGCATTCTCTTTTCTATATTAACAATCAAATATTTGTCTATTCTAACATTAAAACCCAACACCATAAGAAAATAGACAAAAATATTTTTCTTGAGACTATTTTTTAAAAGTGTTCAAAGGATCGATTTCTCACCGGCAAACTTCATAGATTTAATGAACATGATATGAAAAATCAAACTAATCTCTTTCTAATTAATCAGCATTTATGACCATTTTCAAATGATGTTAGAGACTTCCTATACAATTCCTTGATTTTCTGATTCGGTATACTCATTCCGACAGTTGCATTGTAATGTGTTGAAGTATAATTCATTATAAACAAAGAATAAAAAGAACTTTTCGAAAAAATTCGTACATTCATTACATTTTCAAAATATTTTCTTTTGTTGTCAGCATGTCAGTTGTTTCACCGTTGTATTTCTGTAAATTGAAATGTTCCCTTACAATCAGTTGATTAAAAAGATGAAACACTATGTGGATACATAAAAGAGCACTATTCTTTGTAGTGATATAAAAGTTTAAAATAGTTTACCCAAAGCTTATTCCTAATAAATTCCTTTAATCGGAATGAATATCAACACACACTGACAGGAATGTTTGTATTCGTCGTTCAAGCATAATGGAGAAGGTTGTAGAACCTCGCAATTAAGCGAGTTTATTGATATCAAATGTATGTGCCATGAAACAGATGACTTGTATATGATGTATATAATGATCACCATTTTGAAGTGTACCCTTGAATTATTTGATTTTCGTTGACTTTCGGGTTGATAACCAGGAATATATTATTCTTTGTCGGTATATGGATTCATCCGACAGAACGTTATTAGGCAATGTGCTTTCCCGAAGAATTCGGTTTGAATCAGAATAGAAAGAATTTTTCCGGATCGCTATTTGGTATTTTAAAACCTTGGGCCTGTATTTGAAAATGGAGTTCAAAAACTGGAATTCTTCATGACTAATTTTTAAGGACTAATCGAAAATTCTATAAATAGATGTATCTTTCCCACTTAATCGTCGTCGGTTGCAATGGTTTTTCTTTTGTCTTCTTAATTATTAGGGGCTGGATCAAGAGTTATCCGGAGTTATAGTTTAAGTTCGACTGAAAGCTATTTTAGAGTCATAACGTTCACTACTACACCACTAATACTGTAAAAGAAGGCAATAGGCAGGTGAAATCTATAGTTACAAAGCATTAACGCAATATATATACATGACCTTCAATTTTGAATTGGTAAATCAATCAGTATTATTCCTACTCTACAGTAAAAATGAAAAAAATATCCAATAAGAAAACGTGTTACTATTGAATGAGAATTACATTTAGCGACAGAACTGGAAAAAACTAAATAAAATGATATATCCCTGAGAATGTATCTATTTTTCATGAGGAAACCTAAATATTTCTGCTGGTAATAGCAAAATACAAACTCACATTTCATTCAAAAACAAGTGTGACTTAAAGCCGATTACGTAAAACAATACTTGGTAGGTTAGTTACATTATTATTATTAGCAGCAGCAGCAGCAGCCAATAAGACAGATATTTCCAGCAAGCACAACGTGAATCTCGTCACTAGTTTTTTTACGGTTAATACAATCTATCAACTGCATGATTCTAAAATTATGACTATTCAACAGATAAAATACCGTATATTAACAACTAGAAAATAAGAGTGATAATATCATTGTGCAAATACTCAGTAGAACCAGTAAATAACACTTAATGAGTGGAAAGGAGTCGGTGTTATTTCCTTTTTCAGTCAGAATACTAACATACGAACTCGAATGAAAAAGCATTCATTTAATGAGTCGCTGAAAATATAAAATGTCCCCTTGATATTTTGTTTCCTTAAAGTAAGAGCTTTGTACTACTACTAACAAAAATGCTCTGATAAGTGCAAAGTGAATATTAAATAATTTAATATAAAAAAAGAACAAAATAAATAAACCCAGTATAAATTGCTAAATAAATTTTAAAAATCCCAAGTACAAGAAAACGTTTGTAAAGTCTCGGAGATTAGTAGTGACATCGATCTTAACCGTTGAAAATCAAAATGCGATTTCATTTTTAATATCTTTTGTAGTCTTGGAGCTCAACTTTTGTGAAACACGTTAGTCCATAATTATACACATAATTAGCCAACAATATTCACACACTTATTAGTTATTTACAATTCAATCTTTTATTACAACATATCGTAAATGTAAAAAAAATGAATGCAAACAATTTAATGACGATATTTTAGAGAATGGGAGGGTGGAAAAGACAGGGAATAATGAAGAAAGGTAACAACCTAAGCCTAGGAACTATATAATAAATCGGTCTAATAAAATAAGAAGTTAAATGAAATATTCATGGTAAAAGAATAGAAGAATACGGAACAATTATTAAGGTGCATAAAATACCTCAAAGCTGAGAAACCATCAAGTTAAACTACTTTCCAATTATTTAAACTCAATTAACATTAGTAATTTATTTGAAGATAAATTTCTCCAAGTTTCCTCAGTAAAAATATACTACATGAGATGTTAGAACAAAGATGAACTGAGAAAACCTATTGAGTATAGGATTCATTTGTATACGTTTAACGGAGTTCAGTGGTTTAAGCATGAAACTTTTCAATAACCAAGCAAAGATATAAACCTTGCATAATGTGTTACTATTTGAACATCCAGTCTTATATTAAGCCATTATATCAATGTGACTCAAGGCTCAATATACTGATCATATTGACCGACAGTGCATATGACAAAGTAACTAATACTGAAACATCACTAAATAAAACCGATTAATAGACTCACTTAGAATCAATTCTTTCTTGTTTTTTAGTGTTAACAAGTATATGATAAACCGTTACTAGCAGAACTATGAAACGTAGTGACATTTTAAATGGTTCATTCGGTATGCATCATAATAGTCATGTATTCCACTTACGAGATTTCTGATAAGATTCTTCCTGGCATTGTAAAGTGGTAATTTGTGTCAACACAACATTTTATTAGCGAAAAACATGAGTGGTTTATAATTCTAAACAATGAGATACGTAAATAGATCAGTCAAACTGAAAACAAAATTTCCAAAAACCCAGTCACTCCAAAAAAATTATTTATATATTCAAGTAATTTTGTTCACTACCAGAAAGATTGATATTGCTTCAGGAAGGATATTTATACCGTTAGTGATCGACAAATATTCTGTTTTTTTTTTGGAACTACACAACGCATTTGATAATATGATCATTTCTAATCAAATACAAAACTTAATCAATGAACTATTAGTAGATATACTAACATTTAGAGCCTAATAGTATTATAGCACTTCACATAAATTTCCAGTCATCATCCAGTTAGTAGTAAAAATAGGCAATTTAGTGGATACGAGCAGATATTTATTAAAAATATAAAAAGACTAATTTCTCGTTGATAATTAGAAGTAATGAACAGAAAATACATTACTAAAAGACAACCATACAAATTATACTTACTTGGAAGAATAGATTGATAACGATTTTTATGACAAATCCCAGGTATAGGCAATTCTTTTTTATCTGCATGATTCATAGGAATATCCCAAAACTCTTGAAATAAAGCTGTAGAATTATCGCGTAGTTTAATTTTCAATTGATCGTACGTTAATGGTAGGCTAGCATTTATTAATTGTTCTAAATCCCGATTACGTTGACATGTTAAATTGCCTAATGAACAAGGGAAACCAGTGTCTAATTTACAATGATGTATAGCAAATGATGAAAATGATGCCGATGATGATGATGATGGTGATGATGATGAAAACACATGTAATTACATCGATTATTCACAAAATATTGTCCTTTATTAATTAATCCAATTTGAGTATCATTAACTGAATTATTGTGTTGAGAATTAACAATGCCATTATTGCACGTACTAGATGAAGATGTTAATGGTGAAATAGTCGTCGTGAAATTTTGTTGTTGTTGTTGTTTTGATATAATTGTAGTGTGTGAAAAAGAATTTAATGATTGTAAATAATTACACCGGGAGTTTACTTGTTTATTATTATTAGAACTACTCATACTATTATCATGTAAAATGTTTGAGTTATCAATATTATTAACAGAATCAATATTATTACCAGATTCATTTTCTTCTGACAAAACTTCAGCTGTGCATGGATCTTCATCAAGACTGCCACCAAATACACTAAACTGTGCTGATCCTACAGAACAGCTAGGAGTAGGGGAATCAATTGACGGAGATAAAGATAATGTAAGTGATGTACGTGATCCTCTACGACTGTACAAAAAAAGTAATAACATTAAAACAAAGAAATTATGTAGTAAATATCTAATGTTTTTACTTTAATTTGGAGAATAAAACTGTTAGATACACTTTTATTATCAATGATATCAAAAAATATGTTAGTTCAAATTCTGGAGCCAATGTGAATTCTCTATTGATTGCGGAAAAATTATTTTATTGAGACGTAATCACATTCTGATTCTAGGGTTTAGGTCTGATTACCTAGAACAGATGATGTGGACAAGAAAAACTCAATAATTTGAAGATTGCAATAGTTCATCAACATTTTGCAGCTTTATTTGATAAGTAATAGAAATATGTTTCAGCGAATAAGTGAGTCCTGTAAACAATATACTGACCATTATATGTACTGTAAGAGCAACATATTACGTAGACGAAAATTTAAAATGAGTACGCTAGAAATATAGGAAATACTTACTGAAAAACAGAAGATATGAACAAAATGCATTCAATTTACTTGCATAAATCGGTCGAAGCAAAGCACAATAACACAGATTACTCCGTATTACCGAGTAACTAAACAAAAATGTTTCATGGTAATTCAAAAGGCTGGAGACATAAAGTTTGACGTTAGTGAAACAAGTGTTAATAGAAGATAGTTTTATTAAATGAAACGATTTTCGTAGGTTAACTCAGTCGGATATATTACCCTAAGTTAACAAATGTCACCATATAAATATTGCTAATTCGTGAAACAAAGCAAAACCAAGTATTTGACCTAATTTAGTATGGTGATCAAAGAAAATAATGTAATTCATGACCCTAAGACGACCTGTTTAAACTCTGATTAGTGTTTGTAAAAGGTGATCCAAGTTATAAAAATCTAAAAATTCTGGAAGTACAAAAAGGTATCTTAATAGCAAAAATGGAGGTCACATTTAAAAATGTCAAACAAAATATGTCAGAAATGCTATGAAGAATTTGTAAATGGCTTTAGGCAGTCGTATGATATCACTAATGCTCAAGTAAAGTGTGCATAGAAGCTGAGCATCTAATCATGTAATTAGGTGGTTATTCGGACGACTCACTTACTAGTAATATAAACTGTTACTTAATAATCAGGAGCAGAAATTCGGCACACCACCCGTTTCATTTATTGTGTTTATAACACATAATCACGAACAATTATCTGCCTAAAGCATATAAGCATCATACTAATCCATATCAAATTTCTATGTAAAAATGTTTGCTCTAAAATAAAATCTACTTACAAATAGGTGACAAATCACAAGAGAATAAAGTAGAAACTTTCACAAATGAAAATCTCTTTGTGGTGGAAAATTCATCCAGTGTACAATAGGGAATCGAAATAGATCAGAATAATGAACGAGGCATAATCGGTAACAAAAACCGATGATTAAAGCAAAGTATACTGTATAAATATAACTAGCAAGTTCTACACTCAACCCACAATAAAATAGATGAGTAAAATCTGCCAATCGTAAAGATATGTTACCACAAAACATCATAAGCTAACTTATAATCAAAATAAAAAGTTTAACACTTAGGAATAATATCGATGAAATGATTAGTCCAGCGAAGAAGATCTCAACAAGTCTACCATCGAAGTTTATATATATAATGAAACATGAATTACACAGTCATTAGGTTAAACATAGTAAGCGGGATTATCATTAACAAGCATATTATCAAATTGATTTAAGCCGTTGAGTTACTTACTTTTGCAACTGAGCTATATAACAATCCAGCCATGTCCAGAATAGAATCAATGGGTATTCGGGACTTATCTATCCTAGTTATTCTATACAGCCTGGATGTCATAAAGCCTGAAAGTTTCGGTCTATCAAGTTGTTCAAGTGTAACTAAACAATTATTCGATATTCTCGAGATTTCCATTGAAACCGAGAAATATCAGTAAGTCATAATCAATATAAACTCTAGTGAAGAAAATGTGCATTAGCTCACGTCACCATACCGAATCAGCATAATGAGATGAGATTGGCAAGAATTATATTGAAGGAATCGAAACACCAGTAAGTAGTGTTAAAGATGAAAAGGACTAAACGTTGAAGATATGGTTTGGATATAAGGTATGTATGAAAGAACATTGGAACTGAAAATTCAGTAGAAGGTAAAGGGTGAATGCATCTGAGTCATTGTAACTAATTCTAGGTGATGTCACCTAACTTCTTAAACCACTGATCACGCTTATCGCTTGGACTTCATAACCAAGTAGTCTCCACGTATCAAAACGGTTAATTCTAACAGTCAGTATTCTCATGCATGGATGCAACGTTTTATAGTTTGGCCATCTCTACTTGTTCTCCACCCAGCATTTGTTCGTCGACGAAGATTTTGATTGAGAATCTATAACACATGTCTCAGCCGCCTCAATCGTCGAAGATTTACAGCCTCATCCATAAATATTGTATCCTATAAAGTAACTACTATAGTAATATATTTTTATTAAACGTTTAACTGGCTGATTTCCAACTACACGAACTAAAGAAAAAAACATTTTACAACTAGCAAAAGTATTTTCAATCTGTTTATTGAACTGTAACTGAATAGTTACTAAGTTTATATCAACATTATTGTGTAATGACTAATAACACTAGCTGACTTCTCAGCTCAGTGTAGGCGAAATAAGGTCCGTCAATTTGGCTAAACGGACTCTATATTATTTTATTCAATGGGAATAACAATCACAGAATGTCTCGTATACTGATAAGGTTTAACAAAAACTATATACCTTTCCAAAAGACCTTTGGATCGCGCTCGACGACTCGCAGTGAATCCAATACCTGGATAGGTTTTCGGGACTTGTGTACTACCACCAGTACAACTAGTAGTGTTAGTACATGATGAATGATTTAATTCCTGAGTAACTGTATCTGAATTGGGACAGGTAACATGACTATAGGGTAAATTTAATAAAGGTAACGGTTGGGTTGTGATTAAAGTTTGACTACATGGTGCAGATTGTGATTCGCACGGTGTACAATGAGAATGTAAAACATCAGCTGATGTATTTAATATGAGTGGATTGTGCAAAAGTTGTGTTGGAGTAAGTGTGAATGCACCCAAACTATTATTCTGTAGCATAAGTGAACTAGGCATTGGTTTACATGCTTGAGTGAATACAAATTCTTTAGGTTGAATATGATACAACTGAGTTTCAACTGGTGGACTGGTTGCCATGAACGAAGAATTAAGTAAATGTGGAGGAGGTGTCTGATGTCGACGATTAGCGATTGATGGAGAAAGTGATACGGGAGACCTTTTTATAACAGATTCCAAATTCTTCGATTCTTGAACTGAATCAACAGTACCATCCAATGAGTTTGTACCATATTGTTTACTAGGTGAATTCAACCGAACAATATTGTCCGGAGTTTTTGTATGCAATTGAAGTATTGGGCAACAATCAGTAGAAATGCCGCAAAATTTTAAAAGTCCAAGCAGCGAAGTTTTATTATTGGTGAGGTTGTCTAAATTTTCAGCATTAGTTAATGAAGCATAATTTTTTTGTATCGTAGAAGATTTGTCTACATGTATTATTTTTTCTGTATCCACTGTAAGTTCAGATTCCTTTTGCCCAGAAGAATCATGACATCGTTTCTGATAGATACACCAGAATAACTGTGTAGAAATCAAACAAACAATTAAAGTTGAAGTCAACTAATGACAAACATACAATTGAAACAAGTTATTCAATCAATAGCACATAATGTGAAATGCGATCAAATATAATCTAGTCTTTAAAATACATTATTATGCCTGTTTCTAGTCACATCATATACTCGATAACACTCAAAGATAGTTACATGTGAAATAAACTGTAGTACATTTCTATTTTTATTTATTTAAACACATACACATTGGTACAAGGAGACATCAAATATATATGTACCATATAAATCGTTCGATTTATGTGAGGGCTGGGATACTGTCCGGGTGCCCAAACCGCAACAGGTGGTTTTCTTAGAGGGCCACACCCTGAGCATTTGATCTAGGGGTCTAACCCACAAGGCAGTGGAGCAACGTTGGGAGATGCAGTCCCGTGGTAGCCGGTGACCGAAAATAAGTCCATGCGTCATTTGTTACCTTAGGACCCCGGAGCTCATGTGCACCATTGGTTTGAAATCAGGGTTTTCCAGCTCGCCTAGGTAGATCCTCCGTATCCACCAACCCGGTTAAAGCGCCGGACATTCGCTTTTCGTCCTCTCAACTTCGTAAACAACACACCCGCCACGAGAAGGCAGTGGTAGGACTTCCCTGGCAGTGGCTGTATACACGCGGCCATGTGAGAGCATTTCGAGAAAAATAGCTGACTCTCCCCACTCTCTGCCGGACATTTGGAGACATAGTACAGTTCACTTAGGGACATTCTATGCCCAACTTATACGTTTCTTTAAACGCAGATATTTACAGACTTAGCTTCTTAACAGAGATTAAGTTATGTGAAGCAGTAATAAACTTATTTCAGTTAGCTAGAAATGATTTGACAAATCTCAATATACCTTCGAAGAAAAAACAAAATGAACACAATAAAACATTTCTGTCTAAATGACGATAATCTTGTAAATTCGTCAACACTTAATCTGGGGAAAATCTACCTTGACAAATTCACAAACTACGATCACATGTATTAAATCCTACTGTAGACAAATTACACAGTTGAGATTATGTGTTTATGTTAAGAAACTGTAATTATTAATAGAGAAAAAAGGACAATTTTCGAGTTTAAGACGAAATTGTGAAATGGATAAAAAATATTGTAATAAAGAGAAACAAATAAACAACACATGATAAGTAAAATGGTTATGGAAAGAATATAAATGTAATAAGTAACACATAAAATGAAGTAAAATCTATTAAAGTGGAAGTAGATATATTTAATCAGCTTACACACTGAAACTTTATGTGAATATATATATTTTATGAAACTAGCAGTAGGAAATGAACAAAGTAAATGAAAATTATGACCATATTACTAATAATTTCGATTTCTTTTCCTGAGATCTCTTTTTATTTAAATGTATGCATATTTTTATGGTGAATGATTTATGAAGAGAACATTTCTAACTGATATTGTTTCCAAGTAAATGAAAGTCTTGATTGAGTTATTCTTTATTTGATAATGAAGCACTGAATGGGGAAATTTTTCGAGATCAAGTTAAAATCCATTATAAACATTTCAATTTAGATTAAAAAATCGATAAATCTAAAGATTCGAAGTCTAGACAATACAGACATTATATTACCATAAGTTTAAAGCAGCCGTTTAATAGATGAAACATCACTTTTTTAACCAATAGGTTAGTGTTTTGAACCCCGATTTCGCCAACGTCGTTTTGGGTAACCGTGTAGTGTCATTATGCGACAAATAGTGTAGCTCCTAATTGAATTAACAGACGTGTACTTAGTAAAAAAAAAAGTTACTACACAATTATAGGTCTGGAATCAATAAGGATTAATTACTATCATTATTATTTCTCACGGAGCATTTAAATAAAATTCATGCATAACTCGCCAATACACCTTCACGATGTTACTGAATTTTATTTTTATTTTTAATAATGATAATTATTGTATGATACATACTAGAATACCGTAACTGCGCATCAACTTATGCCATTATTTGTGAGATTTCTTCTTTAGAGTTATGACTTAAGTCTCTGTGCTTCAGTATCAGGTGAATAGATAATGGATCAGAAGATTACTTGGTGAGCTTTTGAAGAAACTTCATGGTAAACTTTACCATATCGCATTTGTGACATGCTATATGAATTTGATTTTCAGTAATTACGATCATATGAATATCATGTGAGTAGACATAATTTCGTTGGTGAAATGAAGAATGGTTGAAAACTGATGAAGACTACAGAGAGTTGTATTATCTTATTTTAATAATCCCCAAGTTACGAACGTCAAAATCAAATATTTGGGTGGTAAAATCATTACTAATTACTGTCCTAATAAAACATAGGAATTTCCAAGTTCTACTAGTAAAGTGAAGAATCTGTCAAACACCAGCGACGAATTGACTAAACCTAAAAACCATAACTGTTTAAGAATTAGAGTTAGACGTTTTAATCTGAAATAAGTGTTATAAGTTGCTATAAACATCTAAGTAAACTTTCATAGTATGGTACTTCATTACAAACAAAACTCTTTAATTAATTAGAATCTGAAACTCAACCGTAGTAATAATTAACAACAATATCAATAAGATGTATTCACCAGATCGATACAAAATTACAAAATAGTAAAAAGAAAACTATATCCAGAAAAAATAAACACACCCTCATAATCAATCAACTAATCACTAACCCTTTGGAAAATTGACTGGTCATCATTATCATCCATTGTAGTAGCCACTTACAATTCAATCACTAGTTAGAAATGACAGTAAGAATTTGAAATTGGGACGACAGCCCACAAGAATGACGATTTTGTATCATATCGATGAATGTCAATCACCATATTTTTTTCTACCACGATATGCATTTCGAGTTATTTTTCCATAGAGAAAAGAATAATTTATTTTTCCTAGCATTTGTTAATACTATTGCACCAAATAACATTGTAAACTGTAAGTGCATTAATGAAACCTAGAAAATCCAACCAAAATTAGGTCAGGATTTTTTTTACATATATATATATATATATATATATATATATATATATATATATATATATATATATATATATATATATATATATATAAGTACATATTTATTTATACGATTCATCTATAAATGTATGCATATATTCTGCAAACATGCTGATTATATATATATATATATATATATATATATATATATATATAGAGAGAGAGAGAGAGAGAGAGACTCGAAGTGTTGGTTCTATGAGGAAGCGTAGGCCGAGAATAAACACGATAATCCAGCAATTAGGGTAGTGACGTCGAGTAGCATAATGCAAATTATAATAATAAGGGCTGGATAACTACGAGATATACGTAATTACGGAGGGTGTAAAAGTAGGAAACCAACAATGGATCATACTGTGGATAGGATAAACTAATCAAATTAAATATTTCTGTTTTATCAAAAGATCAAGATGTTAAGGATCAAAATGAAATAAATCAAACGAATACGAAAATTGACTGAAGAAAAGGGAATATGAAATTAAAATAATATAAAGGCCGATATAAAGATGAGAGACAGGACATATTTTGTCAGTACATAGAGGTCAGACGTCTCCTCAAGGACACTTGTAGCTATTGCTGTTTTAACTAGATGGGAATTAAGAAATTATAAAACAGTAGGACAAGTCTTATACACTATCTTTAAGTCAGTATGTGGCTTAGTTGAATGATCAAGGTTTATTAATGCTTACGAGTCGAAATCTTGGCTGCTTTTCTATCATCCTTGAGAAACTATGATAAAAATGTGCTTTTGTATACATGGTGTAAATAAACTTTGACTAGGAGGCATATGCTTCTTCAGGCTGTCGGTTACTAGACAGTCAAAATGGAAGTTGATATCGATTTTAATACAGATTTATTGTTCTCTACAAAATACAATATAGAATCTAACAGGTAATGAAATGAAAAAATTCTTATTTTCTTTTCTAGATCTATCTAAAATTTAAATGAGCTACAAACAGCAAGATTGGAAGCCATTTTATAGTGATCACGAAAGCAGTACGAAAAAAACCAAATTGAACTTGAGTGATTGAACTGCTTATTTTCTAAGACAAAAATGTGGCATCTAACATTCCAAAACATATAATATATTGTAATTATGCAACTTTAATTACATTAATGTTTTCTCGCATTCTGTATCAACCTGATTATGTCTGTTAAGCGGCTCGAAGTTTGTTATCATCCTAAAGCTATATTATTATTATTACCATTATGACGATGCCACATTATTCAGGAAACGAGTCAAAATTTAAAAACCAGGGTTTTTGACATGAAACACTTTGGTATTTCACCAATATCGTTTACTATTACAAACAGATAGCTGTGTTTAATTTTTCTTTTTTCACTTATTTCGCTTTAAACTAAGCAGTTCTACAGAGAAATAGATTTTTTCCACTTAAAATTATTGGTTAATAACAAGTACATTGTAAAATGTCATAGAAAAAACTACTACTACTTATGATTAAAATAATAAATACATAACTTACCGAAATTAGTAAAAATAATAATGTAAAGGAAATAATTTCAACAGCAAAATATAACGTGAATGCTATAGAATGATATTTAGTGTTCAACAGACGTAATCTCCGAATTGTTGATAGTATACAATTGGAAAAATAGTTATACACCGTGATTTGAGAAAGAAACGATGATGAACTGAATAAATTAACAATAAGAAGCATACAGGTAAATCACTCGAGTATTATAATAGTTTACTGTACAGTATATTCTATATATTTTTTTCAAACTATGTACTAAATATTGATGGATTAATACATGTTTCATATACCATTAGCAGACATTCGTTGTACACGAGATCATTTTCAACTATACAATTCATTGAAGGTATGCATGTATGCATCAAAAACACAATTGACATTTAAATAACTAAAAAGAAACAATTTAGAAAGATAAAACCACTTGATATGACAACACAATATTGGTGATTTGCAACTACAATAAAATCTCAATTTAAAACACCAGTAGTGTTTTATTTAATAGAGTCATTGAAATTTTTTAAAACTAATCAAATTAAATTTGAAGTCAAATTCTTTATCAATTAGAAGACGATAAAATAAATCCCTTTCTAAGAAAGATAAATGAATAACAGAAAGTTTTGAGTACAATCCATAGGCTGCGAAAAACGAAACAGATGATGACAATGACGTAAAAATATACGACGTAAGCTAGCAATCATAAGACAGGAATTATATGAACTTCGATAATAATTAGGGTTTTTTTAATAAAACTGTTAGATAAAACGAAAATTTTCTTTCTACATTCTAATAATGTTTTTAGTATGTGGCTAGACATAAATTTGACAACACATTTGATAGGTAGAAATGTTTCAGTCAAAGTCAATCAGATAATACATAAAAATATACTATTTTATTAACCAATCATAGATGAATGCTATGAAGTTATCGAAGAATGAATATCAGGCTACTATTACAATTATTACCATTAAAAATAATTTTTGCTCTAACCACAGATATATGGTAGTTTAAAAAGCATTTACAATCTAAATATGGTAAGACAAACAAGCAATTCATCTCAAACGGATGTTAAAGAATTAACAAAGTAATTAGAAAATTGAATGTATCCACGTTTATTGCACAAAATAGATATCATCGTGGTTAGTGGGGGCCTATAGCATGAGACTATATTTAAGAAAGATCTGAAATACGTTAATAACATTAAAGAAGTCTCTGCTAAACCACTAAACTAGTGAATAACTGACAATTTGTCCCGTGGCAATAACTACCATAACTTTGACATTCATTTACAAGTAGAAACCTTCTTTATTACCTGTATTAAGGAATGAAAAACTGGATATAAACTAATCACTTTCCTACCTTTAGTAAGAAAAATTTGAAACTGCTCTAAGTGAATGAAATCATTCACCAACGTACAGACTGATAGATCCAATTTTTCATGGATGTAATATAAATAACTTTCAGATAGCGACATGCCAGCATATTATGTCTCCCCGCGACTTTTAGATGTTATTCAGTAATTCTCACTGTTTAGTTTTCCAAATAGTACATACTAATTTCAAAAGGTGACGGGTCTTACTTCTTACGTGTAACATGTTAGGAAGGTCAGTTTTTAACTAATGGACCTCATGTGTCTAGTGAGAGGATGACCTTTTAATCAACCAGTGCTCGTTGACATTTAGAAATGATTGAGACATTTTTATCGCAACCAATAATATACATGTTAGAAGTTAGCACTTCCTTCCTTATACAAACGGTTGTGTTCTTACTTCTGTACACTCTAAATCTAAATTTATTCTTGCTGTTCATTGTCAAACTAAGTTGGAAATTGTAGATAAAGGGAAACGTAACAAAACCCATTAGAATGACTGAGGCTTTTGCTTGACTCCAACTCGATACCTTAGAAAGGTACATAGGTCAACGATTCCACACTATATATCAGCACAGTGAGAGGAAATCGAAATGAGGAGCATAGAATCGAAAATATGGCAAACAATTGAAAAAGAAACTATGAGAAATAGAGTTACCAGCTATCACAATCTTGGAAAACTATGTGCGACCACGTGCTAACTCAAGTACAGGGTTTTCTTTAATAATAGTTCTACTTAAGCCAATATTATGGCTCGGAGTAGGTGGCGAATTTTTATGCATGGCGTGACTGACATGGCCCACCTTGGTATGTGGATTCGTAATCTGATCAGCTCATCTAATAGCGATGTTGTTTAGCGAATACGTCCAGGTCCATATATTTATCTTTGAATCACACTTTGTTCGAAAGTTAGTTATGACTTAGTTGCTTGAACTAAGGAAGCGAGGTACTGGACTTTTACGTAATTTACAATCCATTTGTCTAAAACTTTGCACTAAATATATATATATAATTTAACCAATTCGCTCGTCACCCGTAAGATAGGTACTGGTATGAACGGAGTGCGGAGCATCAATACGCATGCAGAAAGCAAGTTCGACTTTTTGCTCGAAATTTCCAGAAACTCATCAGCTTCGTAAGTGTTACTCTCGAGAGCATTGATTTTAGCGTTCCAATTGCAGCAAAAGCATCCATTATCTTTCGCTCATATTATTAAATAAACAAAGCTAATGATATTAATTGTAGGGTGGATAATTACAAGCTTCCCTGTGAAATATCATCAGTGGTTCGAAAATTCAAGTGCTATTGTAAATAAAAACATAGACAGCTTACATCAATAACACAGGAGTGCACGATTTAAACATCATCCGGGAGAAACAAAAAACTTGATTGAAATTTGCATATAGATTGTAAAAGACAGTTCTTGGATATGGGAAAATACTAATCTACACATTGATCATACGCACTTGGAAGAACAAAAGATCAGTTAGTAGGAGTGGCTAAGAGGAGATAAAGTATAAGTTCCTTCAACACCATTATACTGAAAGTATCAAACCGAGCCTATTAGTAGATGTCAGTTGATGGGCAATTACAAAACGTACATATTTTTGTCTTAAGGAGAGTTTACACATACGTTTGTGGTATCATTCAAAACGTAACCCTTGCATGACATCAAATTGTGTGCTATGGAATAAAACCTTGGTGTTATCTATTAGACTACAGGCAATTATTATTAAAGAGATATCTACAGATACCTTGAACAAGATCCAAGAAACAAAAACGAAAAACAACAATCAATAACGGTCAAGCAAAAACAAAGAAATTCAAGGCATAG